TGTGTGTGTGTGTGTGTGTATATAGCTATATATATCTATATATAATTATATATATATATTATATATATATATATATATATACATATAGCACAACGTTATTTCATTCGTGTAGAATGTCTACCACCTAGACACCTCCGAAATGGCTACCAGGTCGTTCACGTGGTAGCAGAAAATCAACCATGACAAGGCGAGCATCCCTCACAAATACATGTCTATGTGTACTTATGCATATAAATACATATTTATATATGCACTATTTACTTACTTAAATATGTGAAATATAATATATATATTAATACAAATTTTCACACATAGGCTGTGAAGTGACTGATTCCCCTTGTACATTCGTAGAATGCCTACCTACCCGGACACCCACGAGATGGACATCCGGCGACCGCGTGAGCGCGAAAGTAGTAAAATAAGTAATAACGAAGCGAATAGACCAAACAATAGCAACGTGTCCCATCAAAGGAGCGGACAGCAGATGGGCCACAACGATCAAAGGAGCCACGGCGACAATAGCAGGCGGCATCATAATAACAATATTAATAATAATAATAGACATGGCAACCGCAAGGTGGGTGTGTATAATGATATATATGTATATACATATGTATATGTATAAGTACCTGTATATGCATATGTGTATATATATAAATATATATATATTTATATATTTATATTATTATATTATTATATATTATTATATTATTATATTTATTTATATTATTATATATTGTGCGGGTGGGGGGTGGGTGGGTGTGGGTGTATGTATATATGTATGTATGTGTGTATGTATAAAATGTATGTACGTATATTTGTAGGTATATATGTTTGCATGTATGTATACATGTATATATATATATGTATGTATGTGTGTCTGAATTTACGTACGCGTGTGTATGTGTATACGCAAAGTGAGTGTGCTTAGGTACATCTACCTGCTGATACTTGTGACGGGTCTGTCAGCTTACGCCGCCATAAATTGTCATATATATATATATATATATATATATATAGCTATATATCTTATTGTTGTGTATATTGGCTATATTGTTATATGTATGTTTATGTTATATTGTGTCATTGGAAAAGAATATGAAAATTGAATGAAGTGATCCGATAATGTTTTTGTTTTTGATTGTTTTTTACCCACTGTTCAAGTATCTGAGCGCTGGCTATCTATCCAGCCTGAGATTGAGTGCTTATACGAAAGGCTATATTCGATGAGTGGGATTTACCGCACCCTCAACTAATAGCTCTATTGTTAGATGAAATGAGACATATTCATACCGAGCTACACCCAATGAACACAATACCCAATAATATGTGTGCTATGCGTATGTACTTCTCGTCGCTCATAAACTACTTCGTTCGCTTCAGGGTGGGCGAGATGGCCGGAATCATAAGAATAGAAATCGGGGTAACAACACGGGCAATAATAATAACCGTGGGGAAAGGGGCCGTAGTCCGTATTGAGCGCGCGGTGATTAAACAGATAGAGACACCAACTATGCTACTCTGAGAGTATCGGGACGTACGGACTTGAGGTCGTAGTAAACACCTATACAGCAATAGACATGGATGTAAGGCTCTCATCTGAAAACGGGGTTATTCAAGTACTATATAAAGAACACTATCAATGATGGAACTTCTTGCCTTGTTCGTTAGTTTGAGACACGGTTCGGAAGATTGTTGTGCAAAGCGTTGTAATATACGATATATATATATATGTGTGTGTGTGTGTGTGTGTGTAATATATATATATATATATATATAATGTATGTATAATATGGGTGTCTGTTTTTTGTGTATGTATGCAAATAGATGATTCTACATTCATATTTATGTGTATTATATAGTATCGAAATGATCAACTCTGTAACATGCGCCCATTCAACTCATGCCGTTCGATACAACAAGACCTAGTAAAGGTGTATATGATGTATGCTGTATAGAACTATTAGTACCTGCGTAAAGGCTAAATATATATTAATATTTGTAACCTCATTGTTTTTATTGTAAAGAAATATTCATGTACTATCACATGTAGAAAAATATAAACGAATTGATGTCAACAAAAATTGTAGGCACAAGATAACTGTTGTATACATGTATAGAAACAAATAAAGATTTATTTTATCAGGACACTTCTGTGATGCCTCCTCATTCGCAAATGGTGGGCTTCGCTTTTATGCGCAGAACTCGATAGTATATTAGTCCAGTTAACAACTGCAAGTTGAATCCTTATTTTGATATATATGGCGTTTTATTTTTAAAAAGGCATTTATGATAAGCTCAACAACATCTCCAATGATCCACTTCTTAAATTTGAAATCATATTTAAAGTTTAAGTTATTGTGAAGTTTTTATTTGTTAGCTTGTATTGACTACTATTTACTGTTGCTTATTCATGTGGACTACGAGGTCGACAACCCGGTGCGAGTATCCCCACTCGTTATCATACCATGAGATCAGCTTGATAAAATTATCTGTAAGTGCTATGCAGGCATCAGCATTGAAAATGGAGGAACGCTCGTCTCCACGGAAATCCATGGATACGACAGCGTCCTCAGTATATCCGAGGATACCCTTAAGCTCGCCATCGGCCGCAGCCTTGACAGTCTTCTTGATATCATCAAGCGATGCACCATTCTTAAGATTGACCGTAAGATCGACAACAGACATGTCAGCGGTGGGTACACGCATTGACATACCGGTAAGCTTTCCATTCAAGTCCGGGATAACCTTACCGACAGCCTTGGCGGCACCGGTGGACGCACCACGGCCACCACGCCAGTCCTTCATGGATGGGTCATCTACGGTCTTTTGGGTGGCGGTGTACTAGTGTACGGTGGTCATTAGACCGTCAACAATTCCGTAGTTGTCATGGATAACCTTGGCAAGGGGTGTCAAGCAGTTGGTGGTACATGAGGCGTTAGATACGATGTCCATATCGCTCTTGTACTCATTGTGATTCACTCCCATAACAAACATAGGAGTATCTCCAGAGGGAGCAGAGATGATAACCTTCTTGGCTCCTCCCTTCATGTGCTTGCTGGCGCCCTCCAATGAGGCGAACACTCCAGTAGACTCTACGACGTACTCGGCGCCACATGAGGCCCAGTCGATTTCAGCGGGGTCGCGTTTGTCGAACACGGTGGTAGCGCTTCCATCAACGGCCAACTTACCGTCCTTGATCTCAACGGTTCCAGGGAAGGTACCGTGAGTGGAGTCGTACATGAACATGTATCGCATGTAGTCAAGAGGGATGAAAGGATCGTTAACTCCGACAACCTCGACCTCACTGTGCTTGAGTGCGGCGCGAAGCACAAGACGACCAATTCGTCCAAATCCGTTGATTCCGATCTTCACCATTGTGTTGTTGAGTAGATGCTGTCAACTGTCTAACTGTATTTTTACTATTTTGATTTGGGGTGAATTGAATGATTCCCACTCTCTCTTCACCTTCTTTTATGCGCGCAGCAATACTGTCTGCTTATATATACTATTTGATTTAATCTCGTCAAATTAATGGCTTTAAATCGAACCAATCAGTAGATCGGCATATATATAAGCATTCACTTCACGAATCAATCCAACACTCTTTAGTACGGCCGCCAAGCCATAATCAGTTTAACAACTGTTTGGTATGTCCTATTAAGATTCATATTTCACCTTTTCGTTGGCCTTCACCCGGGTTGTATTCTACCGGAGGACACAGGTGGTACTCTCTGAGCTCCCTCACCACCTTCAATACATAGCAATGACATCGAGTTTCTGTCCCTGATATGTTTGCATTGTACGTCCATCCTTCTCAGCTTTTGTAGTTCTATACGTTGTCCTTCTCGTTATGTTTGTACTCCATCATTGTTCCGCCTATGGTCGACTGAGTGAGTTCGATCCAAAGGAACCACACAATATCATACGTACGTACGTCTGGTGTGACATCAAGTATCCGCCTAATACTTAGGTAGATGCCCCGGTTAATATAACAACCTAGTAATTGACCAACTAAGCTATAATTCACTACTTGATCGACATCTTCCACTATTCTCCTCCACGGGAGGGCCCCTAGCCCCTGAGTGTCTTACAGGAACTCGAGAGGAAGCTCAGTAGATGTCCCAGTTAGGGGTTGTGGTTCTCCTATGCTATATGCACGGCTACACTGTGTAGATAGGCCTTACCATTCATCTGCTTTTTTCACTTCCAACAGCACAACTCGCAGGGCTTGTCATAGTAATTATTCAACTTTTCCTCACTGGTTCCTCGTTTGGGCTAGTACATACCTTCATTCAAGTTTAATACAACACGCTTCAATCTATCCTACCGGTTGACAACCACTTCGCTAGCCTTCAGCCGAGACATCTGGCATTGGCAATTGCTTGTGGTTCCTCGTACGCTCTTTTGCATCTTTAATTTTTAATTCACGCAGCTACACTTTAGCGCTTATTTGTCTGTGTTCCACTTCCAACTGTGCATTCTGTAAAACCATATAACAAATAACACGTATTTCTCTCTGGTTTCTGTGGTTTCGCTTCTAAATTCAACTTTTAATTTTCATATAGCACAAAGCATCCGTATTAATTTCCTGAAGATGTCTGACTACCCGTCAGCCTCCAGCCGGTACACCTGGCACTGGCAGTCGCTTACGATTCTCTCTGCGCTCCTTCATCTCCTCCATTCGCGCTGCTAAACTGTCGGTGCCGCCTTTGCCACTCATCTGTCTGCGTTCCACTTCCAACTGCGCGTTCTGAAGGGCCTTTTTCGCCGCCGTAAACCTGGGCGTGTGGATTGAGGGTTCAACCCCGGACCAATTAGAACATGATAGACAGTAAAATTATGCAGCAGTCCTTCTGGGTCACCCATGCCGCACATTTCTGGGTGCTGTTGCACTTCACTTCAATCTGTAAATTTAATTGGGGTCTGTTCACCACTGTACCTATTCGCGCCAAATTCGTACTAGCAGAACACATTATATATAAGCGTATACCGGAATTTCCCTTGCCCTTGACTTGTGTAATTCACTTATAGTATGAAACCAGTACTTAGGAGTCTGGTCAAAGATGCCCTATTGCTCTATAGTGTTTTGGGGGGAGTGTGTTAAGGTAATGATTTGTAGATATATATCACATGTACATTGATACATTCTGCCGGGCGTTGCATACCGTCGTATACAGTGAATTGGGTGCTCCGACTCGTTTCCAGCAAAGCACAGCACGTGATTATATACTGCCGACTATGTCACATGCGGTCCAATACATACATGTGATCCCATACTATCTGCTTATTCTGCAGTGATTAGGGCTTCGTTTGCCGTTTGGGCCGTTTGGTATATAGGTCAGATTTAAGCCCTACAATTCAGTCGCGCAAGACATACCCGTGATCCTGAAGTGGTTGTGTTTTGCCCTCGAGTGACGAATCGAGCCCGATATGCTGGAAAATGGTGTTCGTCGTTTTCAGAGTTTCTTCCTTTTGTCTTTTGCCGTACTGAAATTAAACCGTTGTGTAAAGGTTCAGACACCATCGGTAAAGATACGATTGTAGCACCGAAGATTTATAGCAGCTACAGTATTTGCAAATGTCGTGACAGAACAAAACAAAAAAGTTAAAATGAGCAATCAGGTAAAATGGTATGGCCAGCAAGTGTTTTGAATTCATAGACGGGCAAGGCATACCGTCGACAGAATATTATTGAGAAATTGGCTACTAGGGGAAAAGGTAAAAATTTCTGATTGGATTAACCAATATATATATATATATATATATATATATATATATATATATATACAATAAAGAGAGAGAAAACAGACGCGCGAGAACGAA